TCTGGCGCTGCCGTTCCCACTTGGCCCGGGTCATTACCAGCCGCCGGGTTTCTCCAGCGCTCCGAGGGCTTTGCTGCAGAGCCGCTTGCCCCTCTCCAGCCGGCCTTCCCCCCGGTCCTGCTCCTCCAAGCCCCGCTGCACTCGAGGCAACCGGGGCTCCCCGAAGTGACCCGTGTGGCCCCGGCCCGGCCTGGGCCAGGCGATCTCCCCAAAATTATCAGGGCAGCTGCAGCTGAGCCCGATACAGACGCGTTCACGAATATGACATTGTCACCACCCCCCCGAAGGAGAAAATCCTTCCGCTTTAAGCCTACACTTGAGAAATTTGCCCCCTCGGGGGCAAATTTCATGACCCTGAAGACTTCCAGACTGACTCAGCTTGCAGACATCCCCTCTTACGACTTTGCACCCCTATTTGCTTTACACCCGCCTGTCTTTCGCAGACCCCCCCCTACTGAAACGCTTTGCTACTTCAGGTTGTTTTAACTCGTAATTCCCCAGCAAGGCTGCCCGTTGTGTGTGACATCCACTTGTCACCTGGATAATAGATACACCCTGTCATAACCTTAGATGCCTCTTTTTGTCAAGTTCCTCCCAAACGTATGCATGTTTCAGTACAATACGCTTGCCCAGAGAGTAGCACCATTAAGTATCTTTAAGCCTGAAGAGACGGGAAGAAAACGTGAGAAAAGTTGTTCAGCCCAGCTGCTTGGTTAGTAAAAGTACACACCACTATCTTTTCCCTTCATAAAACTAAATAACTAGTGCACGGCGCAAAAGCTGTTTGCTTTCTGAATGTTTACACCTCTGCTTTGGGCATTCCTGTCCTTAATCCTTTAGGGGTAGGGCAGGAGTATTATTATTGTAATTCCGGTCCCTCATTTTTGTGCGACTACGCTGAGGTGCAGTTGTGAATGCCATGCTCGAGTCTTCCCATGGATACACTGAGCGTTTCTTCCATGGAGGTCCCCCGAGGGATTACCTGGTACCTTAGAGCTCCACCTAGTGAGTTTCATGGCATGCTGTAGCAGAACGATCATCTCCATTGCATCCGCTGGTAGGGTGGGTGATATTTACCTTGTCAACACCACCACACCGATCTTTTTGGAAAGGCTCTTATTTTCAAAGACTTTGTAAGTATGAGTTTTGTCCTAGGCAAAAAATAAGGCTAAGCCTTCTTACTAATTTAAAAAAAAAAAAACTTCATAATTGGTCTCGTCATTCCACTTCATGAAGTCATGCTACAATTTATCATGGGATAAATTGTCCAAAAAGTTTATTTTCCATGAAGGACTTCACTAGAAATGTCTAAAAATTAACTACCTCAACTTTTTTAAAGTCACAGTGTAATAAACAGGTTTCCTAAAGCAACAAAATACTCCAATTGCCTTAGTGACTTGCTCTCTAGCATGTATTGTGTCATGTTAACTGCATCTGTTAAGTTACTCTTACAGAATCACTACACTTGGGCCTTTTATCTTCCCTGACTCTATGCATTTATAATCTGTACAGTACTAACACCACCTGTATGGCATGCAGGAAGGGCAGTCACCTTGATCCAAATATCACGCTATCTATATTTGTCCTTGTATATTCCAAGGGTGGCATGAAAGTGAAAGCTAAAGATCCTTCATATCAGGTGTCCATCTTTTAGCAAGCTTGCCCTTTTTTAAAAAAAAACACAAAAAAACCCCCAAAAACCCCCACACAAGTTCCTGACTGACAGCACATATAAGGAAATACAATGGTACAGTGTTTCTCAAAAGAGGGCCTCAATCGTAAGTCAGGATCATCACATACAATAAGGAATATGATCTACAGTGCCAAGCTGAATATTTCCAGAAAGGTCTTTTCAGCAGTTTTCCTTGCTAAGGGCCACATATTAGAAAATGGATCCTTGTGGACTTTCACCTTTTCCACTTGTAATTATGCTTCTGTGCTTGTTTATCATAATCTAACATCATCCCTATGTCAATTGCACAGATGCTTCCATGAAAAATTTAATATTAGAAGTAATGACCAAGCAGCTTTTTCCAAGTGGAAGCTGCTTCTTAGTGGAAACTAAGAGCCAGATTCATGACCATAAATCTGCTCTGTATAACTAGTGTAAGCAAGAGCTACCTGAATTGAAGGTGGAGGGGGCCTAGCCTGGAACCACCACCTTTAAGCTCTCTACCAACATACTTGAGCTCTGCCTGAAAACCTTTGGGCAGTCTGCAGTGACACCTTGCATGTTAATGGATTGCATGTGCTTCTAATGTTCTTCCATACCAATGTCTTTAAAGCTTTTGGGCAATATTCCAATAAAATAATAATAAGAGATATGTTTTATTAGGACCTGTCTCTTTACAGAGTAGGATGTCCATGAACACCTGCATACCGGGAAGGCCAAGGGGATCAATAGAAGTGTGGCTGCAGAACAGTCAGTCATCTTGCCTCCAGAACACCTTCTACCACAGACATGCACCATTCCAAAAATACTTTGAGAAGACAGAACAGCATCTGTGGAATTATTTGGTTTCCTGGTTTGCTATTTATGAACACCTGTATATTGGGGCCAACGCTGCCATAGCAGGCAACACAAGCTATAGACAGGGCTAGGAATCACAGCAGTCACTGGACAGCCTGTGCAAATGTGAGTAAATTGCTGTACCTCTGTGTTCCTGTTTCTCTTTCTTCCTTCTATCCATCTTGCCCATTTATAGGGCAAGCCCACTGTAGCAGGGCCTGTCTGTCACTGTATTAATACAGCAGTACATACTAAACTTATTTTGTCTGTCTCCCCAGTTAGGACTTTCATGAGGCCAGCAAGACATACAAACCCTGGGAGAATCCTTTTATTTAACTGAAGTTCTTCTCTTTCCCTGAAGTGTATGGAGGGCTGAGTGAAATCTGCCTCCCTCATATAGGGGACAAGGAGGCCATGTGCCAGAATTTGTGCAAGGAGCATATATACTTTGAACCCTTGAACATGTATCTCCAAACATTATTTAAATCTTTTCTATTAGGAAGAAAGGAACAATGTAAAACCAGGTCTTCAAAGCAATATAGACCATTTTACATTTCTACACATACTTAGGGGAAGCTTTTGAAACTAGAGGCAATGAACATGCTTAGTACCACGTGCTTAATGCTATGTTACTTCTTTCTAGGAAAATACAGCATCTAAGTTTCCCAGAAGTTAAGTAGCAGCATGCAGCTGAGGTATTTTATCGATTTGTCCTTCTACCTGGGAGAAAAGAAAAAAAAAATCCACCATAATCCATAATGAAAGTTTTGTACAAGAAAATTCAGTGTCTGAAAGGAGGAGGAGGAGGATATTTTTTCTTTTTCCTTGGAGGGGATGGGGAATTACATAGCAGCTGCTGTAACAGTTAAAAGGGGATATTTATTCCACAGCTTTGGTGAGATTACAATCAATTTTATCTCACTCATCAGTGAGACAATGGCTGAAACCTTGTAGAAATAGTGGTAAATTTGGATATTCTAGCCAAAAAAGTATGTAAGTCAGTGCCAACCTTTGAAGAGATACATCAACTCATGCTCGAGGACAGCTACTCTCCTGTTTCTACTGTGATGTCACCTTCCTCCAAAACATGTCACCTGCTTCATCCAACTGACCCTCCCCTTTCATTGCCAGGGTGCCAATAAAGATTAAATCTCATACAAAAGCATTTCCTTAAACCTGAAAATCTTTTAACGTGGTGGATCATGATACGCCTTATTGAGCATTGCATATCTACAAATTCATAAGCTGCTTTCCCCTTAACTGTCTTATGAGCAGTTTTCCATTCAGAAAAATGCTTTAGCAGCTAGAGAGGCAGAAAAACATTACTAGAAAGAGTAATGGAGATTATTTTTTTTTCTTCCTGCTTGGATTGTAACCACAAAGAGGGAAAGATGATAATATTAATGAAGAACTGGAACATACCACCATCACCACCAAGATTAGAGTAGATCCTCCATCACTCGTACTCACTCTCAGAGGAATGAGGATTTGATGCATAAAGAGCTGGGTAAAACTTCATGACCTGCAGTCTCCCTTAAAATGAATAAGGGACACCTATAAAAGCTGCAAGAGGAATTGCACAGAACAAGGTTGTATGTACTACCTGTTATGAGATGACACCACAGCAGGTGGAAGAGGAGGACAAGGACCTGTGGAAACACGCAGCTGAAAAGAACACCTTTCTTAAAGTCCTGTTTGTCAACTCTGTTGCCACAATACTTTTAGAGGTGGTGATGGGCCTTTGTGCTCACAAGGAGATGGGCAGCAGCATTTTTAAATGGTTTGGCTTTAGGAAGTGACAGCATAAGGGAGCCAGAAGGGAAATATCATGGAAAAAGAAAAACAAACAAACAAACAAAAAAAACCCAGACAGACAGACTAGGGAAACAGTAGCTAAGCATT